GGACCCGCGGAACCAGAGCGTCCACCAGATAAAGAGCCGTGGTGACATGCCGCTTGATGTTCGGGTTCGGCAGAGAGCATGCAGCCACATCTACGCCAAGCTTCGAGATATGCTATCCGCAGCTGGTCACGACCTCTCCAGCACGCGCCTCGGGGTCAACGGCTACCAGGGCATGATCAACTTGTATGGGGATGCAGACAATGGCGAGATCTGGGAGATGATCTACATCAAGGGCAACGAAGTTGCGGGCTGGTCGTTCGAGCCAAACCTCACGAACTGCCGCATCTGGAAGCTGAATGACGAGGCTGTCATCGATGCCATCGCGACGGCCACCACTTCTGCGAACAACCCGACCGAGTACCTGTGAGAACTTGGTTCAGAGGCTGCTAAGAGCCTGCCGGCGCAGGCCGTATGTTCTCGCTTGAATTTGTTGAACAGAATGCCGGGTGCCTCTGCTATGTGTAGTCGAGGCGGACCTTCCAGGGATATTGCAGGTGATGTGGGGCCCAGCAATATGCCGTTCTCTCCTCCCTCTGCTCTCTCGATTGTCACTTGGAATGCTCATGGTCTTTTTGGTGCGGTGAAGGCTACGAAGTACGCGACCGCCTCCAACCGCTGGGGGAAGTTCATTAGTCTCAGCCGTCGTTACTCAGTTGTGTGTGCACAAGAGACGCATGGTCAAGTAGCAGATGTGTCGCATCTCCAGCATGATCTACGCAACTCTAGCATTGGTCACTCGTTCTATGATGATGATAGTCGCACTGGTGGTGTTATTACAGTTATGTCGTCATCCTTTTCTGCACCGTTTGATTCGATTGAGCATACTCCACTGATTGTCGGTAGAGTTCTTCTCTCTGTCTGCAAGGGGAAGCACGGCACGCTCGTGATTGTGAATGCGCACCTCCCTAACGTTTGTGATCCCATAGCTACGTGCTCTCACTACCTTTCCAGGATTTCTGATGCCCTTCCTGATGCTGCTACGAGTTTTAACATTATCCTCGGGGACTGGAATTTTGCATATGAAGATGAAGGCAGGCTAATGACTGATGGGAGTGGTTTTAGTCCAGGAGATAGGGCACACACTGACTTGTTCCATCGGAAATGCGGTTCTTGGGTTGAGTTCTTCCAGGAATCTGATACTCGACGGGAAATACGGGGCAAGATTATTTCTCAGACGTCACGACTCGACCGCATATACTCGGACATCCCCTCGGCTCTCTTGGCTGATCTGACCATCAGCACATCTGTGGTGGGGAGGCGTAAGAATATCCAGAGCTCGGACCACATTCCCGTCCTGTCGGTGATCGAGAGATATGCCCCACCTGCCCATGCCCAAGCATTTGTTCCTCTCTGGCTTGCTCGTCATCCTATCTATCAGGAGATGCTGTCCTCTGCTCTTTTGGCTATGCTTGCTGAAAATGACCATGGCCAGCAATGTGCTCTTCAGACTCTCGCTCGTGCCAAAGATATCATGCACGCCACGTGTAAGCGTGCCAAGAAAGCTATTGCCAGTCGACCTGCCTCGACGTTATCTGAGAAGTTGCACTGGTCTCTTCATTCTCTTCGTGGTTGGCGTTCGTCCAGGGAGCATATGCTTATTCGTGCTATTGAATGCTATGAACATCTTGGTAGTTTCTTTAATCTTGTTACTCTTGAGCTCGAACATCCTGCTGCTCTTTTTGCTCATATCCAGTCTCTGCAGACCCAGATGCTAGACAGCGAGGCCACACTGATTGAAAGCTCCCCGTCTGAAGAGGCCACCAAACGAGCTGCCCTGGAGAAGATATGTAGGAAACAGGACATCTGGAAGCTGTTTCGAAGACGCACCTGGCTTTCAAGTGTGAACGACGCTCATGGAAATCCCTGCTCTTCTCTGGAGGATTCGGCGGTTGCCCTTCGTGACCACTGGGGTGCCATCTTTGGGGACTTCGAGGCTGACACCACTCTTTGGGATGAGATCCTGAGCTTTTCTCAGAAGGCCCCTGATATCTCGGATGAGTTCTGGAAAATCGACTTTGAGGAATTCAATCAGATGCTCCAAGCCCGTTCCCCTTCGATGCCTGGGGGAGATGGATTGCCGTATCAGTGCTGGACGATCGGACCAGCTCCCAAGATTCTGTTTGCTGTATACTCGGGATTGTGTGACGGCAGTGTCTCCGACTTGCCGACGGATATGCGACGTCTGCTCATGGTTTTCTTGCCTAAAGGTACCAAGCCACATGATGAATGCCCGATGCTTACTCGTGATTGTGCTGAGACGCGTCCATTATCCATGGGCAACACAGATGCTAAGCTGCTCTCCTGTGCTTTCTGCATCCCGCTCTCTCGCATGTCTAAGACGGTTGTTGATGAGTCCCAAACATGTGTGTCTGGCCGAAGTATGCTTGGTCATGTTGTCCCTGCCGAGAGCTGGGGAATTCAGCAAGACCTCCTGGGGCATGATCGTGCCGGTATGCTGCTTGCTGATTTCGCTGCTGCAGTCCCATCCATCCTGGTCGGTTTCATGCTTGCTGTGTTGCAATCGATGGGCGTCCCTAGCTTTGTACTCGCGTTCTACACCTCGCTCTATCGTGATAACTACGGTATCATAACACTCGGGGGCAAGAGATTTGATGGTTTCCAGATTCTCCGTGGTGTTCGGCAGGGTGACCCCAGTAGCATGTGTCTCTTTTGTCTCTGCCTAGACCCCATCTTGCGATGGTTGCGATCACGTTCGGGCGCTCATATTCGACGGTCACTTGCATATGCTGACGACTGCCTATTTGCGATGCACAACATCCTGACATCCTTGCCGCGTGTCTGGTCCTTGCTTGTTCTCATTGGTCCTGCTTGCGGTCTCTTTCTCAACTCGAAGAAATGTCAAGTACTGGTCTGTGGCACTCTGAATCTAACTCTTCTTCGCAATAGTGTAAATGAATATTCCAATGGCCTGGCTGAGATTGAATTCGTTAGATACGCTAAATACCTTGGCATATATATTGGCCCTGAGGCGGGGGATCTCGGATGGCAGGAACCTCTAAGAAAATTCTGTTCTCGGACCCGATCTCTCAGACAGATGGGTCTCGGCTTAGCTGTTACATTATCTACATTCCAGGTTATGTGTCTATCGGTCCTGCAGTTCGTGCTTCAACTATATCCTGTCCCCCAGCATGTTCTTAAGATATATCAAGAAACTCTTCAACTTCTTATGGCTGCCCCCCAGACACTCATTCTCGTATAATATGATCACTCGCCTTAAGTCTCTGGGTCTTGACTGTGAAGCAAAGAAGATTGTCAACCTCTCGGCTGCCTCAAGGGTTCGTTTCGCTGCGTCGTGCTCGGCTGTGGAACAGGCTCGCAAAGATATCCAAGACGTTCTTCACTCAGATGATCGTATTGTATCTAGATGCTGTATTTGGTTCCGTCCCAGTTGGTACAGTTCCTCGCTTCTTTGCTCTATGTTCGACGTTATCACGATAACTATGGCTGTGATCCCGAAGCTCCCTGACACTAATAAGAATCTTCAACCAAAGATATACTCGGCTCTTCATAAACGTGCTCCCGCTGGTGTTCTTCCGATGGATGGAGTATATACCAGACTTACGAAATGGGTTCTTGATATGCGTCGTTGTATGCTCGACTCGTGTATTAAGCAAATCCGCTCTGTCTGCCGTATGACTAGCACACATATTGGATTCAGTGTCTTACGGTCTTGCTGTCGAGGGGTCTGCACTTCGGCCAGATTTCGTGATATGACTCGTCCTTCGTGCTGCGTTGGATGTCCTATTGAGTTCTCTGCTTCAGGTGCCCCTGTGAATCTCGACAACATGAAGCATTATCGTACGTGTCCCAGATTAAAAAGCTTGTGCCTCCGCTGGATGGGCAGAGGATTTCCTGAGGAGTCCGCTGAGAGGCCGTGGTTTTCCTATCTCCTTCTCCTCTTCCCTCTGTGCGCCAATCGACGTCTGCTCTGTGCCTGCATGTGTGACGCGTTTCTCAGTGTTCATGGTCACGTTCGTAACCACCTCCCTGGTACCCCAGAGCAGGCATTCGAAGCTAGGCTCCGATCACAGGCTCGGCGGCATAGGGCTGTTGCGAAGGCATGGAACGAAATGGGGATCGAACTTTTTGGGTGAACCCGTGGGCCCTGGAGAAAAAAATCATCATCATCATCATCATCATCATCACCATTATCATCAGCATCATCACCCTCCTCCTCATCCCATTCGCATCCTCATCCTCATCCTCCTTTCCTCCCCCTGTCTACCTCAATCATTGAAGTTGCTTCGATATGTTAAGACGATTGGGGCAGCGCTAGGGCGATAATCACGATTTGACCACCCGCCCTCCATCCTTGAAGTTGTTGCGATTGTTTGAAGCGAGTGAGCGCGGCGCTGAGGCGAGAACCACATGTTCAGCCCCCCCCGCCCCCAATCCTTGAAGCTATTGCGAATGTTCAAGACGAGTGTGCGCGGCGTTGCGGCCAGATGCACATGGTAAAAAGGACCCACTCTCCATTCGTGGAGTTGTTGGAAATGTCAAGCTCCAGGATCACAAATGCGCCAGACCCGCTCTGCCGACACGCCCTGGGGTGCGACACGAAGGAGGTAGGTGTAAGAAAAAGAATGGAAGAGGGAAGGGGGGAAGGCAGATCGAGGCAGAAGAGGATCAGGATCTGCAGCACATCCAGCCGGGTGTAGCAACCCTCGTGGTGCACACTGGAGGGTTCCCAGCCTCGTCATCAAAGTGCATCGTTTCGCTGTAGACCAAGCAGCAGGAGGAACAACATAAGCTGCAAAAGGAGGAGGTGTAGGATTGAGGAAGAGGAGGGGGAAGTGAGGAAGGATGGGGAGGAGGAGGATGAGGGGGAGTTGGAGGATCGAGGACCGAGGAGGAGTGAGGGTGATTGAAGATGAGGGAGGGGAGGAGCAGGAGGAGCAGGAGGAGGAGGAGGAGGAGGAGGAGGACGAGGAGGACGAGGAGGATGGATCGACAAGACCTCCCCGCAGCTCTACGGGGAGGATGCGCTGTTCTTCCTGTCGGACCATGACCTTGAGCAGATCGCGCTCACGCGGCACGGCAGGGCCTCCGAGGGCGGCAGCGAGGCCGCCGCCGCCGCGCGTCGCGCCTCGGGGCTCGCGCGAAGCACCACACCTGTCCGTCGAGGTCTGCACCCGTTGCTCCTGCCTCCCTCGTCCCGATCCCCCCTGCTCCCTCCCCACCCTCTTCTCTCGTCCCTCGCTCATCCCACGCTACGCCCTCCCCTCCCCCCTCCCCTCTTTCTCTCCCTCCGCCTCCCTCCTCCCTCCTCCCTCGACTCGACCTCACCCCTCCTTCCTCCCTTCCCCCCGGAACAACCCGCCATTTCGGACGGGGAAGCGGTGGAAGAGACCACCAGCTCGCACAGCATAACCAGCCAGGAGGTTGACATCGACCAGCTGCCAAACGAGTACCAGCTTGACCCGAGTGCGCGCAAATACTGCGTCATGTACTGGCTCATCCGTGACGCACCAGGCCAAGCATGTGCACCAGGATGGCCCGTGTACGGCACACCAGACAGACGCCAAACTCACGTCGGCTCGTACCTACCATGGGGCGTTACCGCGCAATGCTACTGTGCGAAAGCAGCCTCACCGTACGGAGGGTGGACCATCTTCAACGTCAACGGCACACACACACACACACATGTGGGGCATCAACACCCTGATCGATCAATGTGCAGCAATGCGGCAAATTCTGATTGATCTGGAAGTTGCAAACCCACACCTGTGGCCTCAAGGTCAGCATAACCATATTTCTTCCCTACGCAGGCAACCAACACCATCAGGTGCAGCTGGGGACCTGATGAGGCATGACGATGGAGAACCCAGGACGCCGACCACCCACCAGGGGGATGGGTATACACCAGGACCACATGGCCTACTCTGCGCACGACAGCTTCAACACGACCAGGACAGCGGGCAGCGCACTCCATCGCACAATGGGTGTGTTCAGCGCCTCAGTTGGCAACGACACACCGAGCGCACGCGGCTTCAATAGCCACGACATCGACATTGCTCCCGATGTGCACAGCAATGGATCCCCCAGCTGCCGATGCACCACACATAGGAGTCCCAGCGACCACCCACGCCCGCCTACTGCCACCAGACGCCAGCCTGGGACCACTACTGCCACCAGACGCAATTATCCTGGCGAAGGACCCAACCATGCGCAAGTGTGAGAACCGCAGGGCAGGTGGGACGAAGCACGGGGAATTCCCAATTGGGCCACGGACCGTGTGAGGGTGCGCCAAAATGGAGCGGGGCCGCCATGCGAACCCTGCGACTGCGGCCTTCGGTGGAACCCCCCGATGGGGCGACAAACCGTGTGACGGGTGCGCCAAAATGCGGGGCCGCCATGCGAACCCTGCCACTGGGGCCTTAGCGCGCCCTCACGCAGCGCCTCACGACGGCCAGGCCGCAGCCTCGCCAGAATCGCGAATCCGAGCTTACCACGCGCATCGCGGCGCTGCAACAGCGAGCCGCCGCCTCCCCTTCGCGCGGCGCATCATCCAGGAACAGCCCGGGCTCCTTCTCGGCTTCTTCCAGAAAGCACAGTCCGCTTGTAGCGAACTCCAGCGGGCCGTCCGCACGTCTGCTTTCCCTGGGGCCTCTCTCTTCAGGGAGATCACCAGGGGCGACCTGCTGCTCACCGCCAGCGCAACAGCGCTAGCCTCCTCCATTCTGTCTTTCGTGCCCTGCGAGAGCACCTGGGAGCGTGTTCCGCGCGCCTAGCACTGGGCCGCCGAGGGGGGGCCCCAAGGCGGCGCCCTCTTTTCTTGGGACTCGGCGGCGTGAGTTTTCCAGCGTCGAGATGGGGTGCAGAAGGTGCGAGCCCCGCCCTTCGCACAGCACCCCGCTTCTGTCTTCCAGTATCGGGGCCTTTTCGGCGCCGCGCCGGGGGGGAGGCTTCTTTTTGGCCGCCCCCTGGCACTCCCTCCTCCCTCCTCCCTCCTCCCTCCTCCCTCCTCGCGTGCGGCATTTCCCACTTGAGCAGTTGCGGGCAGGAGGTGCTGGCAGCCTCCGCCCGCGGACGGGGCTTCCCGCCCTCCCTCATCGGTGCGTGCTCTCCTCCGTCCCTGTCCTTCCTCCCCCCTTCCCCTCGGAACTCGGAGCTGCATGCTGGCTCCGTTTATCGAGTCGAGCCCCTCGAACCCCCGAAGGGCGAAGAGAGAAAAGCAGGAAGGACCGAACGGCGGGAAACGAGGCCTTCGGCTCCTCCTCCTCCTGCTCCTCCTGCTCCTCCTGGTCATCCTCCTCCTCTTCCTCCTCCTCCTCTTAACCTAACTATTCCTCCTTCTCCTCCTCCTCCTCCTCCTCGTGCTCCTCCTCCTCCTCGTGCTCCTCCTCCTCCTCCTCCTCCTCCTCCTCCTCCTCCTCCTTCTACTTACTCCTTTTCCTCCTCCTCGTCCTCCCCTTCCTCCTCATCATCCGTCCCCTCTCCCTCCCCCCCTCCCCTCCCCCTCCCCCTTCCCTCCTCCCTCCTCCATCTCATCCCTCTCCTCCCTCCCCCGCTCCTCTTCCCTCGCTCCTCCCTCCCGCATCTGGTTGCAAGGCTCGGCCGCGCACGCGCCTCCTCCCTCCCCTGCCCTCGTCCTCCGCCCCCCCCCCGCGCGCTGCGGGCGGAGCGGCCCGAGCGCGCTGAGGTTCTCGTCGTGGTAGGTTCTCGTCCCCCTCCCCCGGTGGTAGGTTCTCGTCGTGGTCGGTTCTCGTCGTGGTAGGCTCTCGTCGTGGCAGGTTCTCGTGGTGCGCTGGTCCGTCCCCCTCCCCATGGTGGCAGGTTCTCGTCGTGGTAGGCTCTCGTCGTGGTGCGCTGGTCCGTCCCCCTCCCCCTGGTGGCAGGTTCTCGTCGTGTCGCCGGGCGGTGGCCCCGCCGCTGGCGTTCCACGTTGCAGATGCCGCCGGCGACCCAGAAGCAGTCGATGCCGAACGAGCTGGCGTTGCGTCAACGGCCGCTGTAGTGCAGGGCCGTGCGATCCCCGCGGCGTCAGGAGGCAACGCCCGGGTCGACGCGGCACGAGCTCGTCGCAGTCCGCACGCATGCCCCCCGCCCAGACGGGGGCCCCCCATCTGACAGACGCTGCTCTTCTTAGGAGACGTGCAGCTTCGATCGTCGATTGTTCTGTGTTCTTGGCATTCGTTTGTGCGTCGTTTTTGGGCGACTGGCGGCCGCTGTCGGGCCCCGAGAGCGTCAGAAACGGGCCCCGGACGGCCAACTGCAACTACCCCCAGGGAAGTCCCCCGGACGATTCTTCGACACGACTGCAAGAGCTGCATTGCCAATTGCTTTTTCACGGGTATGCGGGTCTCCGACGGCAGTTGCGGGTTTCGGACGGCAGCGTCTTTTCCGATCCCTGTGAGCCTGTGGTGCTGTCTTTCGCGTCGGCCAGCACGGGGCCGTTTCGGGGCCCGTGCCATGTACTTGGAAATGTGTGCCCAAACGATGCGAACATGTAGAGCGGAAATCTCCGCCTCAGACAAAGTCGGGCGGAGATCCAAGGCTTGGCGGAAACAGCGACGGCACAGTAAGGCGGAACTGTACAGCAAAGGAGCTTGAAAAGTAGGGCGGTAAGTTATGCCCTACCTACCAGATGGCTGAAAGTATGGTGGGTCAGGGGTCAGGGGGGGGGGGGCTGTTGCGGTCCCCGAGGCCATTGAGACGAGGTCGGGACTCCACGCCGCCCGGGAAAGGAGTCGGGATCCCAGGGCGGCCGCGGATCGGAGAAATCACATCCCATCAGTCCGCAGACCTCCAGCGCACTGAGACAATCAGAACAGATGCTCTTCGACGTGTTGGGCCCCGGGACCGTGGGCAAAAACAGCTCGGGATATGATCCGCACGCACGACATGGGTATTGAAAGAATGGGTACAATGCCCAACAGCGGATCTTGTTCATTTTGAACAGGGCTCGCTGTCCACGCCGCCGCGGCCTGTGTCCATTCGAGACAGGAGGCCGCCTGCCCAACAGCGGCCGCTGTTGGTTTGGGACAGCAATTGCTGTTGGGCATTGTACCCATTTTTTCGGTACCCATTTCGGGTGTCCAAATATGAAAAGGCTGGCCCTGGGATTTCCAGGGGGCCCGCCAGATCAAGCCAGCAACTGCCTCGGACCTCTGGGTTCGAGACCCACCCGCACGCGCCCACCAAGGACGGCCAGGGGCGGTGTCTTGCAGTGCGAGGGCGGTGTCCTGGTGTGCGGGACGGTTCACGTCGCCCCTCGGCGGAGGGCCGGCGGCAGCAAGACGGCCCGGTTCCGCGGGCGGAAGGCGGCGGAAGCAGGAGCGAGACGTCTGCACTGTTGGGTTCGGGGTTTCCGGAGTCGGCCAGGCGGCCGTCGTCGGCACGAGCCTCAAAAGCACGAGAGCAGACCCCCCGCGGCGTGAACCCCAGAAGCGCAAAGCGCATCAAGGCCACGGATGCGGAGCCCACCTGGGCGGAGGGGTCGAGGCTGGAGGCGTGGACATCTCGCGCAGGCCTCTTCCCGGGTTCCTCGTGGCCGCGGCCAGACTCGTCTCGCAAAGTTTTGTCAGGACGCGCTCCGGGAAAAGTCGGGGGCCCATTTGTAAGTGACGGAGCCCAAGTCGTCGTCGTCGTCGTCGTCGTCGTCGTCGTCGCCGTCGTCGCCGTCGTCGTCGTCGTCGTCGTCGCCGTAGGTCGTCGCCATCGTCGGACAGCGGAAACATCGCGCTCGAGTTCTTCCCTCGCTTTCGGCGTTCAGGGGCCCGTTCCCGGCCATGGGACGGCATGGGTCGCCAGGATGGGCCCCAGGGTTTGGCGGGAGCTGGATTTGAGGAGGATGTTCGTTGTCGTCTTTGTCCTTCTCATCCACCTGCCCATCTCCCCCTCCTCCGTCTCCTCCTCCTTCTCCTCCATCTCCCCCTCCTCCATTTCCTCCTCCTCCTATACCTCCTCCTCCTCCTCCTCTTCCTCCTCCTCCTCCTCCTCCTCCTCCCCAGGGTACCTTTCCTCCTCCTCCTCCTCCTCCTCCTCCCCATCCTCCCCATCCTCCCCTCCTCCTCTCCATCCTCCCGATCACCCGTTTCTGTCTCCCTCTCCTCCTCGTCCATCTCCTCGTCATCATTCTCCCATCTCTCTTTCTAATCCTTCCCCTCCTCCTCTTCCCATCATCCGTATCCTCCTCGTCCTCCTCCCTTCCTCCCCCACCTCTTCCTCCTCTACTCCCCCCATCCTCACCACTTGCCGCCGTCTCGTCTGTCCTGCTCCGCCCTCCTCGTGCTGCTTCTCCTCCTCCTCCTCCTCCTCCTCCTCGTTCTCGTCGCTGCTCTCGTCCCGACAGCACGACCCCGCGATGGTGCGCGAGCATCTGGTGGCCGACCTGTTCGCGTCGCTGGATCGCAACCACAAGGGGTCCCTGAGCAGCGAGGATCGGGCAGCGTCGCAGTCGTCGTCGCTGTCCTCGCCGTGCTCCTCATCATCCTTCTCCTCCTACTCCTCCCTCTCCCGTTCTCTATCCTCTTCTTCTTCTGACTTGTTTTCCTCTTCTCTTCTCTTCCTCCCCCCCTTCCTGCTACTTGTTTGTCTGATAGCGTCCGCCACCTCCTCCTCCTCCTTATCCTCCTCTTCCTCCTCCTCCTCCAATGTACGAAGCTCTCCCTTTCATTGCGCATAGCACGATGGGGTCATTTGGGAGGTCCACGATGGGGTCATTTGGGAGATCCAGGTCCAAGAGGACACCCGTCGGTGGATAGACGACACATCAGCGCAACGGTAAGGGATGGATGGGTGGGTATGTAGGTCGGACGTCAGATACGGCGCGCGCGCACCCAGCTTGCCTGCTCATCGTCCCTCTCTTAATTCTGTTGTGCCTCCTCCGTCCTCCTCTCCCATCCTACATCTTCTTCCCCCTCCTCGTCTGTCCGCGTCATTGTCCTCATGTTTGCTCACCCCTCCTCTCATGGAGCCCTTCGAAGTGGTGTGCCGACAGCCGCCTGCCGCAGGCGATGCCAGTCGGGCCCCCGTGGGGGGATGACTGCCCTGCGGCTGGAGCTGTAGATGCCGTTGCCCGGGGAGGGCCCGGAATTTTGGAGGCTGCGTCATCCTCCGATGGCTCCTCACACTTCTGTGGTCCCCATCGTACTGAAGGGCTAACTTCCACAAACAAGTTCGAGCACCCGGAGAAGTATCGAAACAGTGTCTGTCCGACCCGCTGGCAACGTGTCGAACGAGCATCGCCTCCCGGGGCCCGACACGGGAAATCCCTCCAGTTTCGGTACTACTCCGTTGGTGCTCGAGGTTCTTTCTGGTGATCAAGGCCAGAGTAAGTTGGAACATCATCACCTCGCATGCCTCTGAGGGTGGAGCCCAGGAGGTCGGAGTCGGCGGAAGTGGGCGGGAAGCAGCTAATCAGGCTGGCGAGCCAGTGCCGAGCGAGCACGGCTCCTGCAGGAGGTCGATGCCTTCCGCCGCGCCGCCCGGCACTGGTCGGTGGCGGCCGTCACTGGAGAACTGCTGGGCCTGGGTGCCCCTTCGTAGAGCTCTCTCCGCTGGCCACCAGTCGAGACGGCCACAGTAACGGCACAGCCCGACTCGGGATCCTTGCTGCTCGAGCTGGGGACGACAGCGGCCGCGGCAGCAGCAGCAGCAGCAGCAGCAGCAGCAGCAGCAGCAGCAGCAGCTACGCCCGCGCAGCCGACGCCAGGCCAGCGGGGAGCCCAGCAGAGTGCAAGCAGAGTTGAAGCATGAAGACAGTTGAGGGTGCTGCGTCAAACGCGAGGAAGTCGTATGCAGTTTCAGTTATATGTGCTATGCTTGCGGCGCCCGGTACTGGTCGTGACGCGGCGAGCGGGGTCTATTTCTGCATCCCAAAGGCCTACAATGCTGTCGCGTCCCTCGGCACGCTCAGGGTCGTGGTGAT